TTAGTTCACCCAAAAATGAAAATTAGGCTGTGATTTACTCACCCCCGAGGCATCTTGGGTGTATATGACTTTGTTCTTTCAGAAGAATCCAGTCAGAGTTATATTAATAATTGTCTTTGATCTTTCAAGCGGTTTAATGCCACTCAGCGGGTGTTGCATTGCTTCAATCCAAAAGAACTTCTCAGCTCAATAAGGCCTTCTGTAGCGAATCGTTGCATTTTTGTAAGAAAAATATCCATATTCAAAACGTAATAATCACTTTAATCTAGCTTGCGCTCACTGTTGTAAACGGAAGCAGTTCCGGGGGAATGACGTATGGAGGTCGGCTTTGCGCATGTGCCGCTCAGAAGTGACGCAATCGGAAACGCTTCGGAGAGATCAAAACAAAACAACGGTCAAGAATTAGAAGTACAAAACGAGGATTTGTGAAGAAGAATGTCGGAGGATTTCGATATAAGCCAAGAGGAGGGTTTTCCTTTGCTAAAGTAAGGAAACTTTGCTTCCTTTGCTCCTGTTAACAAACATTGGTTTTCACGAGACTCACTGGCGCAGCGCTGACCTCATACGTCATCCTCCCGGAACTGCTTCCGTGTACAACAGTGAGCGCAAGCTAGATTAAAGTGATTATCACGTTTTGAATATGGACATTTTTCTTACAAAAACGCATCGATTCGTTACAGAAGGTCTTATTGAGCCGTGTGAGACACCTTTTTTTTTTTTTTTATATAAATGTAACATTTCTGAATAAATATTCTTGGATTTCAGTAAAATATTGAGATATAGGTAACTACAAAGGATGAGCCATGAGGTTCTCTAGTGTAAAAGGTATTTTTAAAATGTTAAATTTAAGAAACCGTTCTTTTCTATCGTTTAATTTATTTGAGATAGCATTTGCCAGTGATACATGAGACACCGCAGGGCCCAACAGTACAACACTCATAAATGAATGGGTCTGATTCTGTACAATAGTATTTTTGCTGGTCTATTTAATTTTGATTGATTTAGTAGGAAAGAAAGACAGGAAATCAAGGGTTAAAGGGTTAGTTCACCCAAAAATGAAAATTAGGCTGTGATTTACTCACCCCCGAGGCATCTTGGGTGT